GCTTTGCTTCATGTTTTTTTTGGTGTGGAAAATATATAAAGTTTTCGATGTAAAAAAAGAGCTCTCGTTTATCATCCACAAGGTTGTATTTTCCCCCTTTCAACTAAGTCTTTATTCTCCTCATCTGAACTTCATCGCCTCCGCCAAAAGTTCGTTGTACGAAGCCTTGGGCGTACTGGCCCGTCGTAAAGAGTCAACTCGCTCCCGGGCTGTCAGCAAAGCGAAGCAAGTGGCTTGCTTCAGACTCAACGACTCAGTCTTACAGAGCATCGCCGCCAATAGCCCTGCAATGAAGGCGTCGCCGGCCCCATTCGTATTCACCTCTGCGCCCGCTTGCACGGGAAAGGGAGGTAAAAAGGCCTCCTGACCGACCCACTTGGCAGCCTGCCACGCCAAGGTTGCGGACGCCTGCAAGCGTTTTTCATCATTTGTGACCTTGACGTACGCCCCCTGCTCCCCCAGCGTCAGGGCCACGACGCCCAGGCCATTTTGCAGCAAAGCATCCCCTACCGCCCGCAGGGAAGGGAGGGAGAGGACCTCGTCGAAGGCACCCAGGCCCGTCGCCTCCCAGTCCAAGAGCAAGCCAGCCTCCTCCTGATTCAAATGTAGCACGTCCGTCATCGCCCATGCCTCCGCCAGGACATCCGGCTCGCTGTTTCGCGTCGTTACTCCGTTCAAGTCCATGCTTATCAACAGTCTTCTCCTCGCGGGGCGCCTTCCCACCTCCTTCTCCCCCCCATTGGCCCCATCTAGAATTTCTGCCGCTGCTTGGAAAAAATCGCGCAAGGCTGGACCTTGGAAATTGATCATCAGGTGGGGGTACCCAAAGTGAAACGCGGCCACGCCCTGGACCTCGCCTGCTCGCACTCCCTCCCTCAGGGCAGCCAAGGCCTCCCCCGGGGTGAAGGAATCGTTCGCCTGCAGGTTCACAAAGCAGCCCCGGGCACCTGAAGAGGCCAAAATGGGCAGCACCGCCAAACTGGTGCAATGCTGAGCGTCTCGGATGACCAGGGATGTGTCGGTCCCCGCCTGTTCTAACTGCCGCAGCAGCTCGTCTCCGTGCACGTCCCGACCCATTTTGGTCAAGACGTGGACGATGGACGTAGTAAAGGCGCATTCCCTCTCTCCCTCCCTCCCTCCCTCCCTCCCTCCCATCCCCAGCATGTCCGCCAAGGCCACAGAGGACCTGTGGCGCCGCGCCGCCCGGGCAAAACACCTGCGTTTGAAAGGTGTTTATGGCCCCAAAGGTCTCCCCGTCTCCGGACGCGCCCACCAGCATCAAATCCAAGCAGCTCAGGCCCACGCATAGCACCCCTCCCACCCAGGGCTCTGTCATGCCCCCCCCTCCCTCGACGTCCTTGACCAACCCCTTCCTTGTCAACCCTCGACCGACTCCTCCTTCCCGCCCTCCCTCCTTGGTTTCGGCCAGAACATCCTCCAAGGCGGCCATCTGATGGAAGAAGCCAGGGTCGGTGCCCTTGGCCGCCCCCTCTGGGACCTTGAACAGGTAGGCGGTCGCCAAAGCCACCCGTCGGGGGGGCACATTCTTTCGCGCAAAATAATCGCACCACACCGCCACGTCCAGCATGAGGGGGACGCAGAGTATCGAGTCCATGCAGCGAGTGTAGGTCAGCATCGTGTGCGGTGCGCCCAGGAACCCGAGGCTGGTGTACTCGACCACGTCCCGTTTCTCGTCTCCCATGAAAGGGGTGTACATGACCCGGACCTGATGGTCGATAGCTTCCTCCCACCCGGCAAAAATGTCGCTTTTCACCCGCATTTTCGCGTCCAGCGTTTTCTTGCTCGTCAAATTCAGCATGTCATTGTTCCCCAGGTGGTTGGAGGAGGCAATCACCGTCGGGGCCAGGCCCAAGGCCCGCAGGTACTCCACTGCGGCCGTTTTGAACTTGGTTTGACCGGCCTTGAAGTCCGTGCCAAGGACGTAGCACCGGGCTTTCACGGGCCCGTTGGGCGTGTGCAGCTGGGCACGCGAGGCGGCCAGCTCGGTCAAGCCAGGGCACAGGGTATTTTGGGACCCTCCGTTCACGAAAGAGCAGCCTTCCAGGCAGGCCGCTGCCGCATACAGCAAGGATGGGGAGACTTCAGGGTCATTAGCCTCGATGCCAGCCAACAAGGCGGTGGCAGTAGGATAGTCGCCCAGGCTTGGGCGTTCCACACTTGCGGACCAGATTACGGTGATATGCCCGGCCAAAGGGATGTTGTGTAGGCGCCGAAAACGTCGAATGTCTGCTCGCAGGAGGGCCAGCGCCTGGGCGTGGGTGGTGGTGCTCAAATCCACCGCGTTCGTGGCCGTAGCATGCTGGCTTTCACCAATGAACGACGGATCCCAGACACCTTTCCAAATTTCCACTTGGTTCAGGGACGCGCGCACTTGCCGCACGAGGTCATAGTCCAAGACGTGGCTAGCATACAGGGCGTCGCCGAGTCGGGTCGAGCGAATGTCCCATCCTCCCACTGCGGCCCGATTTGCATCGGCCAGCTCGTATGCCTCCTTGTATCCTCCCTTTCCACCTTTTTTTGGCAGTTGCGTAATACATCCTAAGTAATTCGCCTTAACCTTTCCAGTCGGCGCCTCCCATTCCAAACCGAGCTGATTGGCCCGGAGACCAGCCAGCAAGGTCACTCCATTATTTCCCCCTAGGCCTACGATGAGGATGCCAAAGGAAGACGTCTCTGACATATTTTTGAACGTTGCTCGACTATTTCTACCGCCACCAAGAGCGCTGCTATTCCGCTTTTATTTGAGTCCCTGGGTTCCGCTACTTCCTTTGAGGGGGACAGTCGATGCTCGACTACAAATTTGAGACTGTGCAGGAAGTTGGTCGGCCTTTCGCCTTTTATCCAGACACGGTCACCTGTTAATTGGGGTTCCTGTGGTCAGTTGTTGACGGATTAGCGAGGACCAGTCCCGTGGGACGCGCTCCAAGATTTAGTATCCGTACATGCCTTACACAGTCCATATTTGCCATGTATACCCAGTTACTCAATGCAAAGGCCTAAGTAAAGAAATGAGCATGCATCGTGGAAGTATCGGAGGCTACATACACCGGAAGATCGCTGAGAGGGGTACAGACGTGAAAGTGGTGCTCCTATCGTCACAATCCACGCACCCCCCCTTGTTTGCCGTATCGGCTTTTTCCTCGGAGTTATCTTAGAGGATGCCCTTTGTAAAAATCAACCCCTGTGCTTCGAATTAAGGGCGTATTGCAATGCGTTCGACATGAAAAATGATGTGCAAAATTAAGAGCAGGTCTAGTTGGCATCAACCTGCCATCTCGTGCGTACCAGTAGATGTGACCCATTCAGTGGATGTGGTGCAAAATAAGCAATTTGAAGGGGCTAAAAAAGGACAGAGAATGGGTACAAAATTAAGAATATTGTAATTTTCATTGCACCGGTAAAGCAAGAGCTGTACATATGTTTGCTGTTGAAATTCTAAATCATGCCTCGAAGGAAGCAAAGGACAATCTCAAGCACCACATTTGTTTTCGTTACGAGAACTCCTGCGTGCCTCAACAGACGTGTCGAAGGGCCTCAGATGCGTTTCTATAATTATCAACATGCAATAAGACATGTCTACCCGCGATGGCCGGTCTAGTAAGTGCGTCGCACCGGACTGTACCGATCGGTTTAATAAGCGTAGACAGCAAGATCGAGAAAAGCGGCTGCTACAGAGTTGCTATGACGGTCACACTGAAGCATTGCTAGGGTATCATAGCGTATGATATAACATACACGTTAGTGCGACTCGTTGGAAGGAGTGTGCTGCTGGCTACGTGATAAACTTGTCGTTTCTCGAGTTTTCCAACATTTATTAGCTCGTTATGTTGCTCGTCCCTGTTTATTGTGACACTTGCCCATAAAATATGTGCTCTTTCGCACCAAGTGCTTCGCATAAGATAATCGCCACATCAATCATTGATTTTATAAAATAATTCCAGTTAGACTTTTGGGTAGCATGCCCCATTGGGAACTCCGTAACTCTCCCTTCTCTATTTCTTTTGAGAATTTCTCTCCAGTGATGTGAACACGATAATAAGACAACAAGTATTTCTCTCCTCTCGAAGCTATTATTCCGCAGCAAACCGTGACGTTGTATGGCTTGGACCTATTTTTGTCTCGATTTGTGCTCGAACAACACCAACTATTGATACCTTTCCGAAGCTCTTCCCGCCGAGCAAAGAGGTCGGTATGGAATCAACAAATGGTGATAATTATCGTGACTGTGTCCAATGGCAAGGAACAAGTTACATGCAGGAAAAGACGCGAGGGCCCGGAAGTGTTATCGAATCGGGTCGAGAAGAAAAGCAGGGGAAGGGGGAGGTCTGGGTTCCGCGCGCTCGCATTGCAAGCTATTCAAAGCGCTCAAAACTATCATATACTGGAGGGAAACTCCACCACGGCGTACAGATGCCGAGCTAGCCTAGCGCTCGAAAAGAACATGAGGAAGTAGCCGTGTGTTGTAATTGTGGCACAGAGTGTGATATCCGCGTGCACCGCCCCGTGACCCTCCCATGCTCTAGCGAAGCCCGTCGCCCATCCACTACTTCCTACGGTGGTGGTGGCACGCCACTTGTCAGGCATTCTCGGCCCCCTTGCTCATGGAGGCGTGTGTATGTTCATCGCCCAGCATGTAGTTGGAGGCGGGAAGAGTATTATGTGCGTTGGGAGACAAAAACTTGGAAGACTGGAGGAGCTGAGGACCATCCATCTCCTCCCTTGCTTCCTCGCTGCTTCTTCGTTGCTCACAGCAGGATTACACGCAATCTGAAAGCTTTGACAAGGCTTTGACGCACGCATTGAGAAAATGTCGTAATTGAGCGTAGTAATCAAGGACACAGACGGTGGTGACCTGGAGATAAAGTGCTGCCAAGGCATCTTTTCTACTGTCATCCATCCTACACACCGTGCCTCGGTCTCGTCCCGGTCTCATCCCATTTCTCACTCTTTTCTATTTTGCAGGCGGATCTGTTTCAACCATGCAGATCTTCGTCAAGACCCTGACGGGCAAGACCATCACATTGGATGTCGAGCCCAGCGATACCATCGAAAATGTGAAGCAAAAGATTCAAGACAAGGAGGGCATTCCCCCCGATCAGCAGCGCCTAATTTTCGCAGGAAAGCAGCTGGAAGACGGACGCACGCTGTCTGACTACAACATTCAGAAAGAGTCAACCTTGCACTTGGTCTTGCGCTTGCGTGGTGGGGGCAAGAAGCGCAAGAAGAAGGTATACACGAAACCCAAGAAGATCAAGCATAAGCACAAGTCTGTGAAACTGGCCACCCTGAAATTTTATAAGGTGGAGGATGGAGGCAAGGTGAAGCGTTTGCGAAAGGATTGCCCGGATTGCGGTGCGGGTGTTCGCCTGGCTGTGCATGCTGACCGGTACTACTGCGGCAGGTGCACTGTGGCGGTGAGTTGGGAGAGGCGAAGGGCGGGAGGACGGGAGGGAGGGAGGGAGGGAGGGAGCGAGGGAGGAGAAGAGGGAGGGAAACAGGGAAATAAGACTAGACCACACTTTTCTGCGGTAGTCACATATCTTGAAAAATAACGCATGTAGACACGAGCTCAATCTCTCAATTACTCGGACCCGCACCTCGTCACAGTACAAATTCACGTCGACGCCAGCGGTATGAGGCGGCGGCTCCAAGGAAGGGGGTAGGCCATGACTATACCTGCAGTGATATCCTGGTCTAGGTGGGAGGGGGATGGGGTCTCAGACGCGGAGGAGGGAGCGGGACGAGGGGGAAGGGAGGGCGGGGGGTCTAGGGAGGAAGGAGGCGAGAAAGAAATACCAATGCGAGGACGATTGCGTTCGTACAAAGAAAAGTTATTGTTCATTTTGCTTTCTTGAAGTGTTATTGTAGGGAAGGAAAACGTGCACAAATCATTTCCCAGTCCATGGAGGGGAAGAAAACAGGGTGGGAGGGAAGTAGGGGCCGACGGAAGGGAGGAAGGAAGGCAAGGCGGGAAGGATGGAGGGCGGAAGGAAGGAAGGGAAGGAAGGGACTATCGGCGCGTGGACATGGTCTTGGCGTCCATGGGCTTCTCGAACGCCGGCATCAGGTCCCACCCAGGCTTTCCTCTTTCCCCCCAGGCGGCCTGTTGCAACCGTTTCCCGGCCGTTACCAGCCGTTTCTGGACCCGTGGGAGGCCTTCCACCGTAACATACTCCAAGCCGAGCAGGGCCACGTCCAGCATCCGCAGGCCCACCTTGCCCAACACGGTTGACCAATCCTTTGCCTCCCACCCTTCCTCCTCCACCTCCTCCACCCGAAGCTCTATCACTTCCTCCTCTCCCCCGCCCAAACGGCGCACGTCGCCCCCTTTCAACTCGGTCGCATACAGTACCTCTACCCTCCCTCCCTCCCTCCCTCCCTCCCATGCCGTCTCCCTCCCATCCATCACCGTCGCACCACCTCCCCTTGCGCCTCCTCGCGCCCGGCCCATGCGAGAGACGCTCATCACTTCCTCCATCCCTGCCTCCCCCTCCTCTTCCTCCCAGTCTTCCATCAAGGAAGACAGCGATGGAAAGCTACCCGGATCCAGGCCCAGGCTTGTCGCCTCCGTTCGCGGAATTTGGGCGCGAACGTCCGCCCCCGTCCCTGAGGCTTCGACACGTGCATCGAGGACAGGGGGCGAGGACGGGAGGGAGGACGAGGCGGAGAAAGGGGATGCAACCACGTCGCTGGGCCGCCTTGGCCGTATGCCATCCCACCATTGGGATCGCGTTCTCGACCGCGGTGCCCAGCTCGGCTCGTCCTCCTCTTCTTCCTTGGGATAGGCCGGAGGTCCTTCCCGACCATCCGCATTCCCCTCCCTGAATCTACGCGACCGTCCTTGTCGCATCAGCTCTTCCTCTTGTTGAGGCCCTTCCGGACGTTGCGACCGCGGGGACCGTTTTTCTCCTCGTAACGGTAACCGTTTCTCGTCCGGTGACGGCAGCCGTTGCCGGGACCCGGTCGGTTGCTCGAGGAGGGGACGGGCGATGGTGGAGGCCATGGCCAGACTCTGCGCCCACAGCTGCCTAGAGGGCTGCCTGCTGGCGGCCTGTTTGTTGAGACGGCGGGCAGCGTCCACGGTGCGGAAGGCTTGGCTGGGGATCGCAGGGAGGGCGGCCAGGAGGTCGAGGGGGAGGGCAAGGGCCTGGGGGAGGCGGGGCAGGAAGGGAAGGGATGGCAGCTTTTTTGGTTTGGCCGTTTTGCGGTACATGTCTTGAAAGAGTGCGTCGGGATCGCCGGCGGAGGAAAAGGAAGGGAGGATGAATGTGGAAGGTGTGCCTGACAGATAGCCGGACCAATCGTAGGGGTAGATGCCGCGTTGGACGAGCGCGACTTTCTCGGCCAGGCTGAAGAGAGGGGTGGACGCTGGGCCTGGTGGAAGGGTGTTGCTAGTCCCGGAAAAGTCTAGCGGTCGGTCGTGGGAGGGGGTGGGGGTCCAAGGCCCCCCTTGGGCTGGGCTTGAGGGAGGAACAGGAGTGCCTTGGGGGGTGGAATCAGACGGGGCTGGAAGCAATGGCCGCGCCAGAACTTGAGCAAGCTCCGATGCCACGACGATACCCACGCTGATTAAGAGTTTGCTGTCCGCCAAGGCCTTCGACGCTGCATAAGCACTTGTAGAGAGCAATTCAGCTTGTAATTTGGCCAGTAAGGAGCGAGATTCCTCCTGAGCCGCGAGAATGGCTTTCAAAGTGTTGCTGGACACATCCTGGTCGGCGCTTCTCCGCAAGTTATCGAGCAAGGTATCACCGGAGAGGCCGATATTGCTTAAGAAATCTTCAGTCCAACCCAAATTTGCTTCCAGACTCTCAGGGGTTGGTCCCGTCCCGCGTACTGACCCTTCCTCTTCTCGTCCCCTCACACCCCACAAGGTCCCTCCAACATCGCTTTCCGTGACTTGGGCTCCTTTGGCCTCGTCTTCTACGTCTTGTGCCACGGACGGTGCAGGCTCGGTCGCGGGAGCGGCCCACAACGGGGGATGGGTAGGGCTTTTCCTGCATCGCTCCGACGCGACAAACTCCCGTCTGGCTGTACCAATACGTGACACCCAAGGTGCTGACGACTGGAAAGCATGAGATACCACGAGAACCGTCATGAAAACAATTATGCCCAAGTACTTGCTAGCAGGACAAGTTTTCCAAGCCATCGCGTCCTATGTATCCCTCCTCCCCCCGCAGTCTCCCTGCACGGGACGGTGGTCCCGGTCAGCACAGCATGAATAACAGGGCCTGGGATCCACGCGGTTATCAAGAAATGAGTGTGACAATGCAGTTAGTCATGATACGCGCACATTATATCGAGCACCCGGACCAAGAATAGGAATCAATCTCCACGTTGATGTCATAGCTCGATGATACCACGCAGTCGCCAAAACCCCAAATTGACTCGAAAGGAAATCCGCTTCGATTGTTTGTTCCTGTTCAACCCTTGCAAAATTTGGCTGTAGTTTTCATTTCTCCACTCCTGATGTGAGCATTCACCTTGCTTCACAATTTCCCTTCGAGGATTTTGGGGGAGGAAAAGAGCAAGACGTAGATAATACTGTGCCCAACGCCATCGTAAGTGATAGGAGTGAAAGTGGAATTAAAGAGAGAAGGAATGCCATTGCCCACAAATTTGAGCTTGGGCCCCAAAAGAAGGGGATGTCCTTTTTAAAAGTCAAGCAGAGCTAGGAAAGGCATTATGGACAAAGCAAGGTTCAGCGACATCTAACGCAACAAGCAAACGTTTAAGAATGATTGTGGAAACAAGTTCTCCACCCGTCAGACAGTCTGAATGAGAGCTAGTCCGGAGGTTGCATTTGTAATTATCAGGCCTGCAGGAGCAGATCTGGCGTGCATTGAAGGGCATTTTTGCTGTACGAGTTGGAAGACATTGGCGTGTTCGCGTGCTTCGGTCTAAAAAACAATTACACCATGAAGTGCTTCATCCAAATTTCTTACAGGGCGACTTTTTACATCTCTTTCTTTGTTTTTTGACGTTATTCTGTACAAAGCAAGCTATGATCATCATATACCACATCTCTGCTACAATTATCTCTTGCTGACCCTTGGCATCCGTAGCGCTTTACACAAGTACATTGCCCCACCCATTGCACATCCATCCTTCCTTCCCGCAACTTTCTCTGCCTTGGAATCTACAACAGCCTCTCATGATGCTTTTTCAAATCCCTGACCATGTTTTTATGGTGCGCCTCGTTCGTTCCTCCCCCTATCTCCAAGAGCTTGGCATCTCGCCACAACCTCTCCACCTGATACTCTCCCACGTAACCGTACCCGCCCAGAACCTGAATCGCCCTGTCCGCCACCTCCTTGCCCATTTTCGCGCAGTACAATTTAACCCCGTCTGCGTCCAGACCGTTCCCCGACGAAGACAAGTCCAGTTGATTTGCGACGTAGTATAAATAAGCGCGCCCGGCCATATACTCGGCGTAGGACTCTGCCACATGCCGTTGCACCTGACCAAAAGCATTCAAAGGTTGCCCAAAGGCTTTTCGCTCCTGAGCATAGGCGTTCATGACCTCGACGCAACGACGCGCCAGCCCTACGGACATGGCAGCCAGGCCCACCCGTTCAATTTCCAAGTTCCGCATCATGCAGGCCGCCGCCCCGTCTTCCTTCCCCACCAGATTCTCCAACGGAACCCGACAGTCGTCGAACACCAGCTCGGCGGTCATGGACGCCCGCATTCCCAGCTTGTCCTCCAATTTTTGGCCCAAACGAAAGCCCGGGGATCCCTTCTCCACCAGAAACATGCTCACGTCCTTGGCCGCCTGGCCCGTCTTGGCGTACACTAAATATACATCCCCGGTGCTCTTCCCGTCCACGGTTCCGTTTGTGATCCACATCTTAGCCCCGTTCAATATGTAGTGCGATCCATCGCTTGCTTTTGTGGCGGCGGTGCCCATTCCCAATACGTCTGTGCCTGCCCCCGGCTCACTCATACACATACCCCCCACGGCAGTACCGGCGCACGCAGCGGGCAAATATTTGGATTTTTGCGCGTGCGAGCCGTTCTGAGCCAGGTTATTTACAAAAAGCAACGAATGCGCCAGGTAGGCCAAGCAAAAGGCAGGATCGGCGGCAGAGAGTTCCTCGTGC